TTGACTTATGTTTTTCTAATAACCTGAAGTCCTTCATAATAAATTACACAAAAATTAACCATTTGAATTGGCTATAGTAGCCAGTAATGTGGCTGAGGGTTTTGTGTTTACAATTAGTAAAGTTATTTTGTTTGGAATGGGGGATATTGGGACTCTCTGTTAGGGAAACTTGCCAGGCAGAGTGAAGTCCTATCCATGACACAACTGGATTTATCAAAAAGGTGCCAGATTTTTAGGTACTAGAAGAGAATTATACTTTTGCTGATAGTGGACTTGGTGTTCTTTGTTGGAGTCTAGCACATAGCTGTGGTAAAGGAGACTCCCAGGGAGTATAGAAATGAGACTTCAGGAATAATTAGTTATCTGGCATGCACCTGTTACCTATCTCTTGCAGTATACTTCCAGTTATAATGAAGTACTGAGTACAATTTATGGGCCAGGTATTCTGCACATGCAGTTGCATCTAATCTTCACGGCAACTCTGGATTATCTGTTTTATAGGATGAGGGAACTTGAGACTTATACCTATTTTAGAGAAAGAGGAGACTGAGACACCAAGTAAGTGACTTTTCCAAGGTCACACTGCAGAAGCTTGGCACCCAAGTGATCTGACTGCAGAGCCTGTGCTCTTAACTGTTTTGCTTTACTATTTTACCTTAAATCCAATGCTTATTTTGTAGTCGTGAGAGATGAGGAACCTTGTTGCTAACTATTCTTACAGCATGTCTCCTTGAAGAATAAGAATATGGTCCTGACCCAATTGAAAGACATCAGCGCCAACCTAGAAAGTTTTCATTATCTAGTTGATACCCAACTGGATGACTTCTCATAATTAATTAGTTTTTAAGGAGTTGACTCCTTATATCTGTGTGGTGAATCAGTAGTTTTTACTTATCTTTTTTGCTTGTTATTTATAAAGACTAAGTGACACTTTGAAAAAAACATGTATTTGAGAACTTTTAATACAGCAGAGTGTTTCCTGAATATGATAGATATAACTAATGATGGGGAAATTTAAACAAGTTTTAAATTTACTGAGGATTTTACAATTTTCTGGGATGGAGCAGAAGCCTTTTTTCTCCTCAATCTGAGTACCCATATTTTTTCTATATGAGAGCAAATTTGTGGAATCAGATGATGCATTTAGTTTTGGACATGTTTTAGATACATTGACTTTGATAGGCACTGACATGGACCTGTCTTATAGACAGTTTAGTGACTAGATTTGGAGATCAGTAGCCACTAGAGATGAAGATTTTTAAAAATTGATATATGCATTTACTTAAGTCTATATACTAAACTACTATGGCAGAAAGGAAAGGATTTGGGTAGCTTTATAGACAAGGCTGTAAATTATAGTCTTAGAGAGAGTCCTGATTTAGGAAACAAGAATTCTAGTTTTAGTTCTGTTATACTTGCAGATTGTGAGACCTTGGGCACCTCAGTTTACTAACAAAAATTTTGAATCGTTGTAGGTTTTCAGTCTTGTCTATTACTGAAAAAATTTTAATATACCTGGGCTCTTACCTAAATATTTCTGAAATGTACAGGTGATATGTGTGTGTCAGAACCACCTTGATGCCATATGGTATATAACTACACATGGAAGAAGAAGAGGAACAGATAGATGACAGAGCTTCAGAGACCTGATTGAGCCAATAAAATGCTTTTATTTACTTATACATTTTCAGTTTATGAACTTCTGTATAGAAATGACCAAAAGGTATATGCCAGAGCAAAGATGTATTTTTTTCTACCCCAACAAATGGTTTAGTGATTTTGGGGAGCCATTTCAGTTTTGAATGATTATTGTTGGTAGTTAGTGTGAAGGTGTGGGTATGTTGATTGTTTATCCTCATTTTTGAGGTTTCTGAAAGATAATATTAAAGCACAATAGCAGTGCGCAAGTGCTGGTAAGAAAATGTGCCTGATAGCAATGGAAAAGAAAAGTGAAACTTAAATTTTTGTAGACGTGTTCACATTGGTCATTGGTACAGTGTCACTTTGCACTTATGAACAGGTAAGTTTTGGAATAGCCTAACTTTTTACAGAGAAACTTTTGTATCAGGAAATATCCCTTGATTCTGGTTATGTTTTCTTACTGTGGTTTTTCAAATTTAAGATAATAGTTTTCTCTTTATCAGAAGTAACTTTAGTTATCCTTTTTTTTTAAATAAAGAATATATGTAGAAATAGCTTAAATATCTAATGATAAGATATTTAAAACATTATCTGTCATTAATATAATCCTTTTTCTCATTACTATGGGCATACAGGTTTGGGAGGTACAGAAGAAATTGTAGGCAATAGTTACTTCCCCAGACGAGGTTTTGATCTAATTATCTTGGTGGCTGGCACATTGCCTTACAAATAATAGGCACTGAAACATTTATTCAACTAAATTAGGTGGACAGAATTTTCAGACGTGAGATTATGTATAGTTAGTGCTAAATTGGTGCTGCAGGCAGTTAAGTGCTGTATTTTTGAAGGAAGCAATCATTGTGGTTTGAGGCATAGAGGCTGGGAGGCTTTGTGAAATAAATGGGACCCGAGCATTAAAGAATGGAGATGTGATTGGGTGCTGACAAGTGGGGGGAGGTGTTCAGATCATGGGGAACAGTAGTAGTAGTTGAGAAAGAAGGCAAGAATGAATAGTTTGTGTGGAGGAACACAAGGCAGGCCTACTATCGGAGAATTAGGTTGGGTAATAATTTTTTTTAATTTTTTAATTTTTAAAAATTATAATTCTTTTTAGATTTTTTTGGTTAGTTACAGATGCTGGAATGGGAGGTTGGGTAATAATTTAAGGGAAAAGGTACTATATAAGTAAAGTTTGTCCAAGACCAAATGTGTGTCTTATGTTTGTATATCCGTCTGATGAATTTAGATCAAAACACTTTTTTTCCCCTCCTCTAAATATGGTACATTGCTCTAAAACTACCAGACTGTGCTAAAAATACTTTCCCCGTATTGGAGTTGAACTCACTGTTAAAAAGGGTGGAGTGGGTGGGAGGGGGAAACTGCTGGGTTGGACTTGAATTTAGTAAGTAGAAATATCATCTGAATTGAATTCTTTTTTTTTTTGAGAGAGAGTCTCACTCTGTTGCCCGCGCTAGAGTGCCGTGGCGTCAGCCTAGCTCACAACAACCTCAAACTCCTGGGCTCAAGCGATCCTCCTGCCTCAGCCTCCGAGGTAGCTGGGACTACAGGCATGCGCCACCATGCCTGGCTAATTTTTTTTTTGTATATGTATTTTTAGTTGTCCAGCTAATTTCTTTCTATTTTTTTAGTAGAGATGGGGTCTTGCTCTTGCTCAGGCTGGTCTTCAACTCCTGAGCTCAAGCAATCCACCTGCCTCGGCCTCCCAGAGTGCTAGGATTACAGGCATGAGCCACCATGCCCGGCCTGAATTGAATTCTTAACCCTTATTTTATTTTGATTTCCAGTTATGGAAATCAGAGTCATTCATAATGACCCCTAGAGCACAGAATGTGTACACAGGGAATTGGCTTTACTGAAATTAGGCAATCGAGGACGTGATTTGGCTAGCACATACTAGCTAGATTTAGGTTTTAAGGGAAACTGATTCACCATGTCAGCTTCATCTCCAGACTTGTCTCTTTAAAATTATTAGGAAATTAGTAGTCATCCTTTCCTTGGAATCAACTTCTTTTTTGAAGTGTTTGTATTAAAATTGTAAATGCTGTTTCAAAGAACTAGATGTTATTTAATGTGATTATTTTTATCCTTGTCATTTCATGTCATATTTATGGCCATAACCATTTGTTTTATTTTTTATTTTTATTTTTTTGAGACAGAGTCTCAGGCTAGAGTGCAGTGGCACAATCATAGATCACTGCAGCCTCAAACTCCTGGGCTCAAGCGATCCTCTTGCCTCAGCCTCCTGAGTAGCTGGGACTACAGGCATGTGCCACCATGTCCGGCTTATTTTTCTATTTTGAGTAGAGACAGGGTCTCACTCTTGCTCAGGCTGGTCTCGAACTCCTGACCTCACGTTATCCTCCCGCCTCAGCCTCCCAAAATGCTAGAATCAGGGACCGGCCATAACCGTTTGATGCAGTGTTTAATAAAAGTGTGATAAACACCTAAGTTCAATTTTTCTTTTACTTTTATTAGTAGTGGTAACTTATTTTTAAAAATAGGCAAACGTCTTTGGCATACCTTTTTAAAGCATTTCTCCATTTGCTATGAAATTGTTTTCACTCTTAAGTTGCGTTTCTGTTTTTCTCCTATTGTAAAGTGCAGTTCTTTGCATGTTCTAATTTGCCATGACGTGGTCAAGTGCTGTTTCCTTCCTGTTGCTTGCAAGCCTATGCTAGAGATAAGGATACGTTTCAGTGCATTAAAAGAGAAGCCACTGAAGACAGGCTTAAGCATGGTAATTTTTAAAGCATTCTACTTATCAAAGCCTTTTTAAAGAACAGAAAGAATGGGCTTTAATTTTTGGTTAGTTTTAAAGGCTCTTAAAATAGTTCTTACTAACTTTAAATGTATTCAATTTTAAATACTTGTGTTAGACCTAATGGGGATGTTGTCTGACTGTTTCTATTAAAGATGTGAATATACATTATGAAATTACTCATGGAATAGCAATTCCTATGTATGTAGTTTGCTGGGTTGGTGGAACAAACTAACTCATATGTCCTTTATTACAATTACAAATCTCATTTTTATTGCTGGGTAGTTTTTTGGCTCTTTGGTTTTTTTAAATATTGAGTATTTTAATTACAGTTTAACTTGGGGAAGAAAGAAAAAGACATCATTTTCAGTTATGAGAGGTGATCTCAGCAGGAATGAAGTCTTCAAAGAAAATACGTAACTTTTTAAAAAAAACCTGCGTTCATTAGTCATATTGCTTTTATTTAAAAACATTAACCACCACCAAAAAAAAAACTGCTTTGGAGACACTGCCCTCTGTATCAGTTGTTTTATTCTAAATGGGTGATTGCTTTTTTTTTTTTAAACTAACTTAAGCTTTTGTTTTTCAGGCCAAGAAGATTGAGAGAAGAAGAAATTGAGAAAGATTGCCTCAGCTTGAGTAGAGTATCAATGAACCAAGAAAATTTGAAGCATCTTCCCTGAAGAAAACCTGGGTATACAGTAACTTCACAGACTTAGCTGAGAGTTTTTACCCAAATTGGTCACTCGACTCTGCTGCCTGATACTTGAACCTGTTTGGAATTTTTCTCATGTGGATCTAAGGGGAATGCTTTATTATGGCTGCTGTTGTCCAACAGAACGACCTAGTATTTGACTTTGCTAGTAACGTCATGGAGGATGACCAACAGGTATGAGATCCAGAGAAAACTGAATTTTAATAAATTTATTATGATTTTTCCATTTGTAGCAGAAAGTTATTTACTTTAAAGGACGTTAGAGAAACTTTATTGAAGTAAATGTTTAGAAATTAAATATTTGGAGGAAATATGTTTTAAGTGCCAGTTAATTCATTAGGTATAAATCTTATCCTTAGCTTTGATGTGGTAATAAGGAAGTACTACTTTTGGGGTTCAGCTTGTTTTTCTGTAAAATGAGAATCAATAGTAAATGCCTCAAGTAATTATTTCAAAGTAATTTAAAAATTTCTAGAGACTGCACTAACTTTTAATGTATGTAGTTAATATTTATAATCATGGGCTATTTCTTCAAGCAGATGAAACAGTATTAGCAGTCCCGTAGTCACACATCATTTCAGTCTAAAGCATGTGACTCTGAGGGAAGTTGCTTAACTTCTCTAGATCCTCCTCATCTGTAGAATGAGAGGATTGAACTGAAGAATTTCTAAATCGGTTTTCATTGAATTTACATAAGATATGCAAATTACTGTCTTCAGAATATAAGTAAGATCTGAGAGATATTGAGTAAAGGATTTAAGATTAATTCTGGTTCTCCACCCCTATCCCCCTGAAAAAAAAAAAAAAGGGCTGCAGTGGGGAGGCTAGGGTTTCTGGGGATTCTACAGTTTACTTCATTTTTTAAAGTGGGTTATATAGGGAATGTTAAGATTTGATGTGGGAAAAATAGTGTAAGCATTGGAGAGACTCAGTGTACTAGGAGAAATATTTTGAGAACTAGTAGGTTTAAAATACACCTTATAAAATTGATTTATTACTGAAATAATCCTAAATAATACCTAACTTTAGTAGGCCAGTTATAATGTGTCATGTTTTTATTCTAGAAACATAATTACTACAAAAAATAAAATTGATTTTTACTTTTGGCAGGATATTATAATTTTTTAGCTGTATTGTCCATTGAGGTGACAGAATAAAAAGTTTATAAATAAACCTACAAAAGGTGAGAATTTGGGTTAAGTTGCCTTAAAATGAAGATGAGTTTTGATCAGGGAGGAGTAAAGTTTCAGGGAGAGGATTGCTTGGTCCCAGTTAAAAATATATTAATAGTGCTATGGATTTAATCTAGAGACAATAGAAAAGATATTTTAGGAGGAGAAAGTGTTATGAATTTAAGACAGGATGTTTATGTGTATATTAAGGCTTGAAACAGTATGTTTACTGTGCAGCCCTCTTAGATGAAAGATGCTGTTGTAGATCCCGTGCTTGATGTGGTGAGGTTTGATCTCAGGATGTGGCAGCAGAGGACAGAGATCTAAGCCGCTCACTGGTATGCACTAGTACAATGGCTTTGACACTCTTCTGACCATGAGAAATGCATTTTACATTATGGCATCTATGTAGCCTTAAAAGAGTTTCGAAAATAATACTTACCTACCATATATATGATGCATTTAGTTAATTTTGGAGAGGTTATTTATGTCTTTGGAAAGGGAGATGGTGCTGTCAGCATGTACATATATGTATTTTCTTAAGTTATTGTTATCCAGCAAAATGAATCTATGTTCATTTTGTGCGGGTATTAAAGGATTTTACAAATATTAACCATTTAAGGTAAATACTAATATCTCCATTTTATGATGAGGAAATTAAGACATAAAGAGGTTAAGTGACCTGCCTGAATGCATACAGCTAGTAAATAGTGGACCCTTGATTAGAACATAAGCAGTCTGACTCTCACTAATGATGTTTTGTATATTCTTGCAATGATATGTGACAATCTTACTGTATTATAATCATTGTCAAGATGTTTGAAACTGCTGGCCAGGTTTAGAGTTTTTCAGTCTGTGGCCATGAGTACAGAAAACTGCTTTACAAGAGGGTAGATCCAGTGGTGGTCTTACTAGCATCTTATCTAACCTGTGGCTCTACTTCCTTGTTTGTTTGCTTGTTAGTTTAATTTGTTTTTAATATAAAAGTAATAACTGGCCATTTATAAAAGAAGTGAACCTAATACAAAGACATATAAAATAGTGAAATTTTCTCTTCACCTTTACTTTCTAATCTTACTCTCCTCCCCAAAAGAAGCTAGTATCAACTATTTGATGTGTGATTTTTCAGACATAGGTCTAAACAAATGAGTGATATACATACATGGAAAATTACTTACAGAGGTTGTTTTTTAAGATGCAAATGAAATTATGCTAAATCATATTTGTGACTTGTTTTCACTTAATGTATTATAATGTGTGTATGTGTGTGTTGCATTTCCTTGACTGCTAATGGTAAGGGAGTTTATTGTTTGTGAATTTTATTTATTGTAAATTTGAATTTTCTTTGAGTTTTTAATATCCTTCTGCCCAGCAGTTCTTTCTATATTATGGATGTTACGTTAGAATCATTGTTTTCTAATATATTCTGCAATTAATGGTTAACTCTCTTCTTGTGTCACATGATGCAAATATTTTCTCCCAATCTGGTACTGTCTTTTAACAATTTGGTATCTTTTATCTTATAGAAATTTCAAATATTTTTCATAAAATTTATCAATATAAATTGATAATATTACCAAGTTTTTTGGCTTTTTTTTTTTTTTTTGCTTCTGCTTAGGAAAGCTTTGTTTACCTCTAAAATTATTAAATTTTCTCTTTATATTTTCTTCTAGTATGTTTCATATGTTTAGCTCCTCAGTCCATCTGAAGTTTATTTTTGTATGATGTGAGATATTCACGATCTGATGACTGCTCCCCTTTCCCACAAATAGTGGTGTTAGCCCTTTACCGTTTATTGAATGTTTTATATTTTCACACCAAAACTGCCCCTTTGTTATATACTAAATTTCCATATGTACAGAAGTTTTGAACTTGAGAATTTATTGTTTTAATTGAACTGTTTTTATGTTGTGCCAATATCACATTGTTTTCATGAGTATCACTTTGTAGATTTGATATTTTATAGGTTATCCCCTCCCCCCCAAATTGGGCTAAGTTTTCGAATGAATTTTAGTGTTAGCTTATTAAGTTGCATTAAAAACACTGTTCAGCTTTTAACTTTCCAAAATTAAAAAGTATTTATATCTTTTAAAATGATTTGTTTTATGATCCTATGTTGGTTGGTTCTTTATAACATCACTGTTTGAGGGCACCAGATTAGAATACATTTCCTGTTTGCAGTTATGGTCTGTGGTTATAAATGTTATAGTCTAAAGAAAACAACACTGTTGATATCTGGTTGCCAACACCCTGATCATTTTCTCTTATTCAATCCATACTCTTTCAAAATTGCTTAGAACTCTTGGGTGGAGATGGCAGGGGTGGGGATGGGATGTTGGAAAGGAAATATCAGCACTGTTGATGCTGACAGTTTAAAACTCTGTTCTTGCTGTCTGTTGTAAATTGGGAATATTTGTAGCTGAAAACGAAGTGCTCAGTGTTGAAATGCAATAATAACCTTTTACACGAAGGTGTTTTGGTTTGACCTTATTAAACAGGCATGTATGAGAATAAGAAAAAAGCTGATGTCTATGGATACAAGTTTTTAAAGAGAAGGAAACTTGACTATTTACTTGAATATTCCAGGAGTTAATTTAATGAAAAACAGCAAGTAGTTGAGTGGTTTTTTACAAGTTGGATAAATTTTTTGGTAATTTCAAAATATTATTACATTGTATGTTTTTTCAGTTGTTGATTTTAAAAGTAGAACTTCTGGCAAATCATTTATGCTTAATAGACTTAGGTCACCAGGGAGAAGCTTGGTGTGACATGCTTGGCAAAAATGAACAAGTAGAGTGAGTATTTTTATAGAATCTCATTATAACAGACAAGAAAGTGGTCTTAGGACTTTCCTTCCTAGGGAGTAAATTGGCTTTCTCTGACTGCTAATTGCTGGAGGTTAAAGGGTAACAGTGCCTTGCCATCTTTTAAACAAGCTGCCCAGTGATTTTTCATGCAGTGCTTGGGAATCACTGCTCAGTGTAACAGAGGTAAACACAAAGTGCTGTGGATACAGAGAATGGAACAACTGACTGCATTGCAAGGTTGGGAAAGCTTTACTGTGGAAGTTGCAGTTAAACTGGATCTGACAGATGAAAAAGAGGGAGGTGTTCCAGAGCAGTAGAATGTACCCAAACTTCTGATGGATTTCTCTTGACTTCTTAATCAGTCCAAACATCTTAATTTGCAGTTAGGAAACTTTTCCCAGTTTGACTGTGTCACACTCTTTTGTTTCTTGTACTACATATTTTTGCCAGCCTCGGGGAATTTTCCCAGATGCTTACCTGCTTCTCTTTTGTTTGCTCAGGAATAATTGCTCACATTCACACCTGTTGCATGTTTAAGTCTAATCATCTTTCAGGGACTTAGAACAAAAACCTTATTCCAGGAACTCATCCTAAAACCATTCCTTTAGGAATTAACGACTTTATCCTGTTATTCCTATATCATTTATTGTCAGTGTCACACACTTACTATGTTAAATTTTCATATGTGCATTATTAATTTCCCTAAATAAGTGCTAAGTTACTTAAAGAGATTACCTTTTTCCCCCTTAATATTCCCAAAGCATATAATATCATTGAGTCCTCTTAAAAGATTTTTCTTCCTCTTAATCTGTTGATAAAATGATCTGTTTTATAAAATAGATAAAATTTACCTGTTGGTAAAATGGTCTTGGATATATGTGTGTGTTTTGTGTATATTCCGTTATGGCCTTTATCACATCAGAAGATCTTTGAATGATAAGAAGTGATCCTTGTTCCATAACTCTCTTGACTACAGTATCTATGTTCCAGGGACCTATTATCCACATTCTCATTTAGTGCGTGGACAGTGTGGCCATGTCACCACAATTCCAAGACCAGAAACAAATACTTCTGAGTCTTTTTTTCTGATAGTATTTTGAACTATTGTACATGTTAAGTGAAAATCACCTCAAAAACCTTTTAAAAATTGTCATTGAAATTATAAATTAAAATCTATTAAATAACAGTGTTCACA